TCAAAAGTCCATCCTAACAAAATTGTCCTGATGTTATGCAACCCAAATGGACCATGCTACTCTCGGGTTGAGTACATACCAATAATAGATATGGGCTTAGACATCTAATCCAACATTATGTTCTCACCTTTGCGTGGATATAAATAACGTCCAAAATGGAGACCGTATGAGGAAGTTACGCTCTTTTTAAGTTATTGAACCAATATTTAATTGATTTTCCGAAAAACAAACACTACACTGCGTCATTTGGAATAACTACGAACTTTTTAAATTATTTTTAGCACGTTTTTGAACTCAAACTTAGGCTAATATTTAATTTCATTTTTTATATTTTTAATCCAAAGTTAAATTAGTTTCGCGAAAACTTTTGAATCAGAACTATTTAATAGCAAAAAACTTTAAACGCCATTTCACGGAATTTCGTATATCGTATTTAAACTTTGTTTACATTTTTTAAATCACCTCGTCTGAGACAATCAACAGGAACATGTAGAATATATTTACAAAGTCGATATTGATGGCATGCGAATCGAGGCAACGAGTAACCACCTTAAAAATACATGCATGTGCATGGTTGTACTTGGAAGCTTCCAAAGATCCATAATATCTCTTAGGAACTGATTCTAAACGCGCAAAACCCCCAAGGTGCGTAATATCTTTCAAGAATATGAAGTACATATGCATGTGTGTATATGATGTAAATCTTTCCATATTTAGCATTAATCTAACTTAGTACACTCCTATACCTCCCAAAAGTTAGATTGTACGAATCAAAAGATCAGCCCTCACCTAATCATGCATACCACCTTCTCTCTCGCTACACACACTCTCTTTAACTCTCAGCCTCTCTCTTACATATTCTAGCTCTATCTTGGCACATGCGTGAAAGATCTTCTCAATCCATTTATGGTACTTTCATATATACCTAAATACCACTCAATCTCATAATAGTCATTTACTCACTCACAATCTCTCATTCTCGCACCCTCGTTCACTCTCTCTCACTCTCAAACTCTCTCTCCCTCTCTCTTTCGTTCTTTCTTACCATCGACAAGGAGGAAGAAACTGGCTATCGCCAGCTAAGACATCCCCCCGCCTCATTTTTTTCGTCGATCAAAACCCCAAACAAATTCTCTGCCTCCGCCTTGGTCCTCTATCGTTGCTTGACGCCAAAACAACCCCAAGGAGGGCCTTTACTGTCGAGAGAATGCCATTGGAAAACACCAGTTTCCACCCCTCTTCACCACCGTTTCTAGTCATTCCTACCGTCTCTCGACCCTCCTAGCTCCGTCAAAGGACCTCAGGTGAGATCCCCTTGCTTTTTCATTTGCAAAACAACCCCGAGAGATCGAACACCGTCAGCCACGTACCATCGTTGTCGGCACCGTGTGCATCTCGGACGGGGGTCTAGATTGATGTGTTAAGTCTAAAAAACTATTTTTCAGGTTCCTTACATAAACTTTGTGAATTCCCGAGTGTTGTTTCATTCGAAAAGCTCACCGGTTCAAAATCGAGAAAAACACAAGTCGGTTCCCGATAATCGAAACGAACAAATTTCATGCAAGTAGGTTGATTTTTACCACCCTTTTTATCTTTTTAAAGCTTTCAGAGGAGAATACACGCACTTTACGTACTTTATAGTAACAAGGTCTCTATATGGCATGTTACAACATGTGATGGTATGTTACGACATTTGATGCATGGGCATTGGATTCTATCTTCGTCCATGAACCTTTGTTGACTGGTAGCAAGGTCTATGATTTTTTTTCATTTCTTATATGAAAGCAGAAGAGACACAACCGTGATCATCTTTTCTTTCATACATCCATGTTCTAATGGTGTTTTTCATGATGTTAAATCTATGAAATATACATTTAGATAACACAATATTATGTTCATTAATATGGCTTCGATTTGATAGATGAGATTTTAAGTAATCAAATATGTATGTACAATATAAATATTGCAAATGTACCTTTACTATAAATCGTTTCACAAAATGACCGATTGATGAACCAATCTTGAAAGTTTCTCGTTTGTATAAGTGAATCACTTTGATGATTTGATAATGGCAAAAAATATTTATAGAGAGGTTTAATTGAAATTGAGAATTGTAGAACACAGTTTCAAAGAGAGAGTGTATGAGGGAGCATTCGACAACCCTTGGTCGTGATTTCGATGTGGTGGATGATACTACGTAAAAGTATTTGGTTGATATTATTCAATATTTGAAAATTTTATATATAGTATCATATATGAAATTATTAACGAGATTATATACAAAAATATAGGTCATAACAAACATAGAAACTATATTAGAGTTATTAACAAAACAACAACCTAAACAAAATAAATTTTTATATAAAATACACCCATTGTCAATCAAGTAGCATACGCTAAATTAACATATATGACCCAATTGATAATTATAACAAAACCATATAATTGTACTAACATAAAATAAACACTATTGAATGTCATTAATATTTAATAATTAAAACCATAATTATATTTTCAATATAAAGAGTATTCACAACATTTACAAACTCTTAATATCCATTATCAACCACATTCCTAATAAACCTACAAAGTTTACCATACTCTACGTACCAACGATAAACTATGAAATACTTTTGTGGGTCACCATCCTCGTCTATTCCATCCACAAATGACCCTTCAACATAATAACCTGCATGTTTACACTGGAATGTGATGTTATTTGTTGTAAGTTTATGAAAAACAACTACATTCCTCAAAAATTCTTCCGCACTGTCAGCCTACTTTGTGGACTCTAGGGGTGCAAACGAGCCGAGCCGAGCCCGAGCCTGAACAAGCTCGGATCGAGCTCGTTTAAGTTAGACGAGGCTCGAGCTCGAGCTCAGATCGATTCGAGCTTTCTTATAGGAAGCTCGGCTGGAGATCGTAAGGAATTATATAAGCTCGGCTCGATCTCGGCTCGTTTTTTGTCTATCGTGCCTAAACAAGCTTAAGCTCGGTTGAGCTCATTAAGAAGATCGTTTACTAATACCCTAAATCCCTAATTCCCCAAATATTTTTTTATTTTAATATATAAAAAATAATAACAAATTATATTATATATAGGATCGTTTAGGCTCGCGAGCCTAATCGAGCTTAATGACATAGGCTCGAGCTCGAGCTCGTTTAATAAACGAGCTTAATAGTAAGCTCGAGCTCGGTTCGGGCTCATTTAAAATTGGTTTCGAGTTGAGCTTTTAACGACTCGATCCCGAGTAGCTCACGAGTAGCTTGGCTCGTTTGCACCCCTAGTGGACTCTCCAAACTCCAAAGCTGCCCAACCGAAATACATATCAAGTAGTTGTAAACCTACAAGTACACATTAAAAAAACTTTCAATCCAATGTAGAAAGTTTGGACAATATATTTGGACAATATATTTGGACAATATATTGCACAACTATAAACTAAGTATTCTAAAATCTAGTCTTTGACATTAATACTAAAATGAAAGATTTATTTGGACAATATATTGCACAACTATAAACATGTATTAATTAACTATATACAAAATGTAATGTAGATGCTATACATACCTTCATCATACTCAGGAGGCCCTCTTGATATGTGGATCATCCCATGCAAATAAATTGCCTCGAGATGATCCTCATCTCTTGCCTCAGTCAGCAACATCATTCCAAAATCAAAATTGCCCTTACAAAAGCACTCATTCTGTTATCAGAATAACAATTCTAGTAAAACCAATGACACTAAAAAATAAACTAAATGAAATTACATAAAATTACTCAAATTACATATACCACTCATTGTCTATACATAGCTTCAATGTTTTTATGTGCTGCACATTTTTGTATAAATACATCGGCCTTAAGAGTTTTAGAAGTCATCCCTTCAAACATGTCGAGGGATGCTTGTTTGAACACTTCACGTTCTTCCCTTGCTTCATACATCTTTTTTGAACTTAAAAAAGTGAAATTTATGGTTAATAACTAATAAATGAAGTTATATTTAATCGAATATACATTCATAAGTCAATGTTTATTAGAATTACCAAATTCTTGTAGATATGATGACTTTTGCAGATTCAAAACCTAACTATGCAATAATCATAGTCAAAATCTCTACTGGAGGATCATCCAACGAAATACACCATCTTGTATTCGACATTCTACTAACAAAATAGACATTTCATAAACTGATGCCATTTTTTAAGAGAAAAGAGGCGTAATTGTGAAACACGGTGTAACAAGGTAAGAAAAAAACCTTACTTTGATGCACTGGTCATGGACTCAGTTCAAGCTTCAATAATCTTGGGAAAATCGATTATGAGAGCGATTCTCAATCAAGGATTTTGGGGTTTTCTTTGATCATCGACGTTTTGTTCTTTCGGAAGATTGTAGTCGATCTGAATGGGAAGAACTGAAACAATATGATGACGTCGGAAACATCATGGCGCCTAAAAGATGTAGAGTGCAAAAAGACCAAATTACCCTTAAAATAATTAAAAATATGTGATTACTAAGGGTAGTTTTGTCAAAACACATTATTCAAAAAAAAACTAACCTTTTTGAGTAAACAACCAGTGCAATTTTCTATGCCTTTTCAAAAACCCATTAGTTAATGACAAAATGACCTAATTGCCCTTGTAAATATAATGATTAATGTTGGATTACAAAGGGTTTTTTTGTCAAAACAAATCAACTCAAACTATATTTGGATTTATATATATCTTTATTAATTTCATGTTTGCTTTTTAAATTTTTAATCAATATACGGTTGGACTATGAATCATAATAACAAATTATACAAGATTGCCATAAAAATGTTAGAACAACATAGAATAAAAAATACTAATAGATTTTAACAACATCAAAGTAACTAATCTAATTTTAGAAGAACATATATAGAATAAAAAAACTAGATATATATTAAAAAAATAATAAGTGGATAACAAAATCTAGATATTAAAATGACAAAATATTCGTATAAAAATTAAGATCTAATCTATTTACTAAGCTCATTACACTTCTTATTTATCATTTTAATCATGCCATGAAGGTCTTCAAGATATTTTACTTCTTGTTTTGCCGCCTTGATCTCATCATCAATAAATTTGTCTACAACATATTTGTGAATCAAGTTAGATGCCTCGATTCGTATTTTCTTCTCCTCACGATTCTGGATGGAAGTATCAAGCCTTGTTTTGATTTCATTTAGGTGAATACATGAGTACGCATCATCGATACATTTGGTGAGAGCAGGCTTCCTTACTTCAGACAAAATATCCGAAGAATTGTTAGCATTGGATGAAGAAGGCATTCGTTTGGAATGAAGTAAGATGTATAAGATGTGGTAGTAGATAATATACGTATGTGGGGGGGGGGGATTTTATAGGAATAAATGGCATATATTGTTTGTTCGCGAAAAAAATATGTAGAAAACAAACTTCTTACCTTCCTACCAAAAATTTCCTTCTTATTTGATATATATATATAAATATATATATATATATATATATATATATATATATATATATATATATATATATATATATATATATATATATATATATATATGGGTATTAGTTGGAATAGTAAATATACATAAATATTCACGTCCACTAGTTTTCTACCCACATGAACACACAGTTTACCCATATATAAAGTAATAACAATTCCTTTTCTAAACCATCTTCTATTCATTCAATAATAATTAAAAATTTACCTCAATAAACGAAATTAATGGCTTATCTTACATCAAACGCAACCTTGAATGAAGATTTTATCGCCACCATTCAAGAAGACCTAGAAAGTTTGGAATCAAGAATGAGAGTAATGGAGGCTCTTCTCTGACGATTTTTGAATCACGAGACAAAGATCAACGAAGTTCTAGATGCACTGTCAAAGGAGGAAGTCTCCGAAGATATAATGGATACAGAATACGAGATGGGTGTGCTGAAGTCATACACGAGAGATCAGAATCAACATTTAATAGATTATATGATAATCTTGGCTAGAAACATCAAGATGAAGAAGGAGTTCCGAAAAACGATTCTTCAATGATGTCTATTTAGGGATGGAAATACTGTTATTTACTTTTAATCTATTTTTGATATGATCTTTTTATGTGTGTAACTGCATATGCAAAAATTTTGGTCATGTAATCGACAATAAATCGGATATGAAATGTTCATTATATATGTATGGTTCAAATTACGAAAACAAGTTAAATTATATTGTTTGTTATTTAATTTCTTGTAACTTCCGGATTTTCAGGTATATTATTGTGTGAAGTAATTCTGAGATTTATGGAGCGAATCGACGAGTTGTGAGTCCAACTCGTCGAGTAGAGTCGAGATATCCGCGTGAGTTTAATGAGCGGACTCGACGACTCAGAGAGCCGACTCGCCGAGTAGGTGTTGTGTAGTGAAACCCTAAATTCCCAGGGTTGGGGCCTATTTAAGGGGACTTATAACCTCAAATGCGCCTCACCAGCTGCCCAACTCTCCTGTGTGAAACCCTAAGCGACCATTGAAGCTAAGAGAGAGGGCAACATATGCCATGCTTGAACGTAAAGATTGAAACTTTACGTGACAACCGAGCCTTGGGAGCCTAGATCTAGGGTTTGGAGTGGTAGATCTGCTTAAAAAACGTCTGAATGGGAAACCAGATTAAAGTGACTCGCCGAGTCTATGAGCTGACTCGATGAGTCGGTTAGGGTTTGTCCCGATTTCCTTGATCATGCGATAACTCGACGAGTTGGGGGTCAACTCGACGAGCTAAGTTGGACCTTCATGAGACTTCTGAGGAAACGAGTGGACTCGACGAGTCATATAGGTGTACTCGGCGAGTCGAGTCAAACATGGACTGTTGACTCGAGTTTCACTTCTGTTGACTTTAGGGTTTGGTCAAACATGAGTAATGGAGACCATGGAGGGGTAAAATGGTCTTTTAACCACTTCAAGAGTTAGAATAAGGAAGAATAACCTTCTATTTACTTAGATTCGAGAATCGAGTATTTATTGAGATAATTACCCTATGTTTGAGGCGGTGGCTAGTTCGAGATTCGAGTACGAGGATAATTGCTTGCTTGCTTTCGAGGTGAGTCTTCTCACTATACACATCTGAGTAGTAGTTACTGTGTGACCGGAGGGTCTTCATAGAGATACTGGACCATAGGGTTCTCATTATTGACCGGAGGGTCTCATTGTTATACTATGATATGCGTTATTGTACATACTGTCTTTGTGACTTATGCTGTTATGTTATTCAGTGTAAATGTGGTTATATGTGCTTACGTTGAGTTATGTGATATAAATTATGCATTATGCCTTGTGATTATGCTATGCTTTGCTGAGTTAGGACCGGAAGGTCCACCCGAGTTGTGGGACCGGAGGGTCTCCACTGAGACACATTGACCGGAGGGTCTTATTTGCAGTGTACGTGGTATTTTGGGGAACTCACTAAGCTTCGTGCTTACCGTCTTATGTGATATGTGTTTTAGGTACTTTTCCTGATATCGGGAAGGTGCCGACTCGATTGTACATACGAGAGAAAGAGTTATGTTTGGAGGATCCTGGATTTGTGATAAACAATTTAGATAAAAATGTGTTGATAATTGTTACTTGTGATTTTGAGGAAATGTATGTTTTATTGTGTTTTGAAATGAAACATTTGTTTGAAAATTTACGGTGTTACAAGTTGGTATCAGAGCCTTGGTTTGAGAGATTCGGATGCACCTTCGGGTACGTCTAGACTCAAACTGAGGATTTGAGAAAAGTTTTCAAAAAGAAAAGATTTTTCTAAAACGAGTAGGAGTTTCTAAGAGAAAAACGAGAAGGAGCACTGTGTACAATCAGCCAGAACCCAAACGGTGATTTCCCAAAATACCTAAAATTGTTTACTTTATGAGTTATTATTTATGCATGCTAGAGGATAGGCTATGTACTTCATTTTTAGGGCTAGAGATGCCTGATTTGTGATGCCTTAGCCTAGGTATTGTTGCTATCTGTTATGTGCCTTGAGTATGTGCTGAGTAAGAGTATCTAACGGGAGTCACTTAGAGAGGGAGTTCTGAGTCGAGAGATAACCTAGGAGAGATACCAAAATGAGAATTTGAGGAGTCTACTGAGAAGACGTATTAGATACCATGAGAGGTGAGACAGCCTGAGTTCAGTGATGCCTCTGAGTTGTGAGTAGAGCAAGTGTAGTTGTGTGCTCGAGTGGAGTGTTAGTGTCGGTGGAGGTTATTCGATGCCCGAATGTTGCTTGATTTGTGCTTTGTGGAACTCTTGATAATGGGAGTCAGCTACTGAGTGAATATGACGATATTCAGGAGGTATATGGCTGGCATCATAAGAGTTCTTCAGCAGCTGATGGCAGAGAAGTGTGAGAACCTAGGGGAGCATAGTGAATAATTTGAGTCCTTTGATTATGTTGTTTGGGGAAGGGTATGCGCCGGAGGGCGAGCGTGTGTAACGAGATTGGTGATCGAGGAAGATGAGCAGCTACTTAGGAAATCTGGGATGATCCGTGTGGAAAGTATGGGTAGATGTGGAAGGTAGTATGGGCCCGTACTACTGAAAGCAGAGGACCCATACTCGAAACAGGGAGAATTATGGAGGTTCTAAGTAGTGGATTGAGAGGAGATAACATGGTTCGGGTACCATGATTGTAGTGGATTGAGAGGAGGTAACATGGTTCGGGTACCATGATTGTAGTAGATTGGGAGGAGGTAACATGGTTCGGGTACCATGATTGTGGTAGATTGAGAGGATTTATCATGGGTTGAGTACCATGATTCGTAGTAGATAGTGCTTATGCCTTTTTCCGGTTGTCCAGTTGTGATTATTAGGCTGAGATCTGATGTGATAGAATGTGGGGCTTGAGGGCCATGTCGAGCAAGCCTCAAATAGAGCGTAACTAAGATGGGGAAACTGGGTTAGTTTCCGAGAGATTTTACTGGTGAGATGCCAGTTGGAGTCGCAAGACTCAAGGAGGAGTAGAGATGGTGCCTTATGGAGAGTTGCGGTCTGAGTTGAGCAATCGTCCGATAGTGGAGATGTCATTTTCTATGACCAGAGTGGCGTTATTTCCATTTCCTGTGTGAGGCAGAAGAGATATTGAGCTTCCGGTTTCTGAGCTTGGAGGTAAACCCTGTGGGGTGGTATTGGTTGCGATCTTTTCACCAGAGTATTGGGGAAGTATGTCTTCCGCAAGGTAATATTATAGCATGAGAGGGTCATCAATTGGGACTGAGATGGTCAAGGACAAGGATATACCCTATTAGAGTATAGTAGGGCATATGTTAGAAGTAGTGTCGAGTAATCAAGAGGAATATATCAGGGCGGTGGCTCCCATTGTCTATGATGGATATCGAGTGAGGGAGTGAGGTCTCTGTTATCATGATGGGACGTTGGTTGGGGAGTCGAAGAGGAGGAGTATGATAGTCCATTATTTCAGACTGAGAGTCATGACTGCTACGGGACAGTTGAGATGTCTTGTAGTGTGTCAAGTGCGAGATTTTGGATGACACGTTGGGAAGTTTTCGAGGATTTTATCTGAGATTCGGGATATTTGGAGTTTCTTGGTCTCTATCGGGAAGACCATCGAGCGTTGCGTAGCACTCTCCAAGAGTAAGTGTGATGTACTTGGTGAATCAGTCTGTGGAATAGATTGTTGGTGTGCCAAATGGTGATGGTTCGAACCCTAAGTGGGGGAGAACCAGGTATTTTATTGGGAAGATCAGGAATTTGTTCAAGAGAGGTTAGAGATCTGGATATAGAGACCTGCAATACGGATTCATGAGACCAGGGTTATTTGGTGGTCGGGGCGAGGTGCAGAGTGAGATAATGCATGTTCGGGAAAGGATGAGTGTCTCCACGGTAGGTGGTCGTTGGTCAGACCTTGTGGAGCTTAGGGATTCTTTGAGGTTGTAATGGTGAATTCGAGGTGGTTGGCTCGTAAGGATAGTTCCGGCGGTTGAGAATTTCTGGTTCAATGTAAGGGTTGTTGTATGCACTTTGGAAAGGGCAAAAGTTGATTTGGCAACCAACTTCAGGGTCGTTATGAGTATTCTTGCATGAGTTTTGAGAAATAGAGGAGGGAGTTTCGGATTGTCATCAACGTGTTCTGAGTCATTGACGATTCCTCCGTGTTTCAAATTGAGAGTCGGAATATTCCGAAGTTACGAGTTGTGTGAGAGGAAGATCTGTTGAGAGATTCTAAAAGGATGCATTGCGATATATAAGCACGATGTCGTAAGTAGGAGATTAGTGGTTGATGCAAGACATCATGAGGTTCTGTGATGGTGTACCGAGG